ACAGGTCTACCAGGGCTGGAATACACGTCGACAACGGCAGAAATACAGGTCAACAAGGACAGGGATACAGGTCTACCAAGGCAGGAATACAGGTAAACCAGGACAGAAATACAGGTCTACCAAGGCAGGAATATAGGTCTACCACGGCAGGAATACACGTCGACAAGGACAGGAATACAGGTTAACCAGGACAGAAATACAGGTCAGCCAGGACAGGAATACAGGTCTACCAGGGCAGAAATACAGGTCTACAACGGCAGAAGTACAGACCGACTAGGGCAGAAATACAGGTCGACCAGGGCAGAAATACAGGTCGGGCGGGATAGGAAAACAGGTCTACCAGTACAGGACTACAGGTCTGCCAGGGCAGGAATACAGGTCGGCCGGGGGAAGAAATACAGGTCTACCAGTACAGGAATACAGGTCGGCAAGGCAGGAATATAGGTCTACCAGGGCAGGAATACACGTCGACAAGGACAGGAATATAGGTCTACCAGGGCAGGAATACAGGTCAACCAGGAAAGGAATACATGTCTACCAGGGCTGAGATACAGGTCGACCAGGACAGGAATACAGATCAACCAGGAAAGGAATACAGGTCTACCAGGGCAGAATACGGCAGAAATACAGGCCGACTAGGGCAGAAATACAGGTCGACCAGGGCAGATATACAGGTCAACAAGAACAGGAATACAGGTCAACCAGGATAGGAATACAGGTCTACCAGGATAGGAATACAGGTCTACCAGGGCAGAAATACACGTCGACAACGGCAGAAATACAGGCCGACTAGGGCAGAAATACAGGTCGACCAGGGCAGATATACAGGTCTACCAGGGCTGGAATACACGTCGACAACGGCAGAAATACAGGTCAACAAGGACAGGGATACAGGTCTACCAAGGCAGGAATACAGGTAAACCAGGACAGAAATACAGGTCTACCAAGGCAGGAATATAGGTCTACCACGGCAGGAATACACGTCGACAAGGACAGGAATACAGGTCAACCAGGACAGAAATACAGGTCAGCCAGGACAGGAATACAGGTCTACCAGGGCAGAAATACAGGTCTACAACGGCAGAAGTACAGACCGACTAGGGCAGAAATACAGGTCGACCAGGGCAGAAATACAGGTCGGGCGGGATAGGAAAACAGGTCTACCAGTACAGGACTACAGGTCTGCCAGGGCAGGAATACAGGTCGGCCGGGGCAAGAAATACAGGTCTACCAGTACAGGAATACAGGTCGGCAAGGCAGGAATATAGGTCTACCAGGGCAGGAATACACGTCGACAAGGACAGGAATATAGGTCTACCAGGGCAGGAATACAGGTCAACCAGGAAAGGAATACATGTCTACCAGGGCTGAGATACAGGTCGACCAGGACAGGAATACAGATCAACCAGGAAAGGAATACAGGTCTACCAGGGCAGAATACGGCAGAAATACAGGCCGACTAGGGCAGAAATACAGGTCGACCAGGGCAGATATACAGGTCAACAAGAACAGGAATACAGGTCAACCAGGATAGGAATACAGGTCTACCAGGATAGGAATACAGGTCTACCAGGGCAGAAATACACGTCGACAACGGCAGAAATACAGGCCGACTAGGGCAGAAATACAGGTCGACCAGGGCAGATATACAGGTCTACCAGGGCTGGAATACACGTCGACAACGGCAGAAATACAGGTCAACAAGGACAGGGATACAGGTCAACCAGGATAGGAATATACGTCGACAAAGACAGGAATACAGGCCGACAAGGACAGGAATACAGGTCTACCAGGGCAGAAATACACGTCGACAACGGCAGAAATACAGGCCGACTAGGGCAGAAATACAGGTCGGCCGGGGCAGGAAAACAGGTCTACCAGTACAGGAATACAGGTCTGCCAGGGCAGGAATACAGGTCTGCCAAGGCAGGAATACAGGTCGGCCGGGGCAAGAAATACAGGTCTACCAGTACAGGAATACAGGTCTGCCAGGGCAGGAATACAGGTCGGTCGGGGCAAGAAATACAGGTCTACCAGTACAGGAATACAGGTCAACCAGGACAGGAATACAGGTCAACCAGGAAAGGAATACAGGTCTCCAAGTACAGGAATACAGGTCGACAAGGGCAGGAATACAGGTCAACCAGCACAGAAATACAGGTCAACCAGGACAGAAATACAGGTCAACCAGGACAGGAATACAGATCAACCAGGAAAGGAATACAGGTCTACCAGTACAGGAATACAGGTCGGCAAGGGCAGGAGTACAGGTCAACCAGGACAGAAATACAGGTCTACCAAGGCAGGAATACAGGTCAACCAGGACAGAAATACAGGTCTACCAGGACAGGAATACAGGTCAACCAGGAAAGGAATACAGGTCTACCAGGACAGGAATACAGGTCTACCAGGACAGGAATACAGGTCAACCAGGACAGAAATACAGGTCTACCAGGACAGGAATACAGGTCAACCAGGAAAGGAATACAGGTCTACCAGGACAGGGATACAGGTCAACCAGGAAAGGAATACAGGTCTACCAGGACAGGAATACAGGTCAACCAGGAAAGGAATACAGGTCTACCAGGACAGGGATACAGGTCAACCAGGAAAGGAATACAGGTCTACCAGGACAGGGATACAGGTCAACCAGGGCAGGAATAAAGGTCAGACAGGGCAGTACTAAAGGTCTAGCAGGGCATGAATCCTGGTCGATCAGGACAGAAATACGTGTCTAGCAGGGCAGAAATACATGTCAACCAGGTCAGGAATACAGGTCTACCAAGGTAGGAATATAGGTCGACCAGGGCAGGAATACGGGTCAACCAATAACGTTCAATGAACAGATACCTCAATAGTTATATGGCTGTGCCTTGTCACCACCTTTGTGCAACTGATGAACAACCCAATCACCCATTGCTCTGGACACTGCCTTTCTTCCAAAACTTTATTGAATACAACTAATAGATAACGCAGGAAGCTCATTACTAAAAATATCACTAAGTGACACTTACCCGAGTGACGGGGCAAAGTATATATATATATATATCGCGAGACACGTGGAATATCCTATTTATTATATACATTGTGTGTAGTTGTCGACCGTAAAAGTCAATTATGTCATTACAAATGTAAAACCTACGAAACATGCAGAGACGTTTCACCACCAATATAAATGCGACTTAAAAAGTAGTTTCATGTTTGCAAAATCTTTACAACATAAAATTATTGATCATATACAAGGAAGGTTTCTCGGCAGGATAAAGCAAACGGATAAAAACGATATATATATCATACCCATGTAGGGACTACTTTCAGTGTATACAACAAACATGGCGTCGTCTTTGTGATCCGGCGATCGAGTCCGAATTAACAATCGGGAATCTGGAGAAACTACTGGCATAATTCCTATCATTGTCGAAAGTTTAGTATAATATACTGAAAAAAGTGTCTACCTGTGACGTAGCTAAGGCATTTTACGAGTTTTGGCACATTTTGAGATATGAATTGCGAAACAATTTTGCGACGACACTAGCCAAGCGGAATCACTTTCCATATCTGTGCTCGTAGATCTCTGTGGCTTGTAACCTTTCCACAAATTGAAACAGTTGGATTTGGCCGAAAATATGTCAGAATAGTTCCCTTGATTCGTTTTGTCGCCGTGTGTCCTACTGACAGCACTTCGTAAAGTTATGACTGGACTGACAAACAGATTAGGGTTAGAGTAGCCTCCCTTTGATAAAGGGCAGTAACTCTATCGGGCAGACCAATGGATTGTCGCGAAAGGCAAGTAGAAAGCAATTGCTGTTTTGCCTATATGTAGTTTGTTGGAACTATATTGAATGTTGTCACTGTCCGACTGATACGGCACTTACCTTCGGACGTCATATATATTAGTGCGCACATTCAAGGAAACTCGCAATATTTTAGGTAATTTTTCTTAGAGATGGGAAGAGATCTTTCGAGCTTAGAATTGAAGAATGACATTATATGACAAAAAGGTTATCACGCTTGCCAAGGATCTCTAAATTCAATGCTTATTCCTAATACAAGATATATCATTCATTTGGATATGATTATATACAAAATCAAAATCAACAACAACTATTTTTGAAATCTACGAGACCTCTGTTGGGATACGAATAGTGTGAGTGAGTTGGGTTTAACGCCGCTTTTAACAGTGTTCCAGTTATTTCGCGGCGTGTCGGCTTAATGTTGGAGGAAAGCCCGAAGTGATGCAGATCTCCGACGTTTACCACTTCGGTGAAACCGACGAGCACGGGTATGGTGCTGACAAACCTAGTAACATAATCGGCGCGAACCGGGATTCGAACCAATAATCAAAGGTTTCTGGCGTGCCCAAGGGACGCAACTCTGTACAGAGAATCGCGGCACCTTAGACGACTGGTCCCCGTGCCCCCCAAAACGAACAGAGTAGTAGTATGAAACATTTTCAAGAGAATAACAAACCGCTAGAAGCGATATTAACGCCATAAATAACCATCTGTCATTATTTTGCCACGTCAATGTGGAACGTGAAAAGAGAAGTGAACAGCCTGTGTTTGGACGGAGACAATAGGATACTCGCATCAACAGCCAAGAGCATGCTACCCTCGCATCAACAGCCGAGAGCATGCTACCCTAGCATCAACGACAGAGAGCATAGGACACTGACATCAACAGCAGAGAGCATGCTTCCCTCGCATCAACAGCCGAGAGCATGCTACCCTCGCATCAACAGCCGAGAGCATGTTACCCTCGCACCAACAGCCGAGAGCATGCTACCCTAGCATCAACAGCCGAGAGCATACGACACTGACATCAACAGCAGAGAGCATATTGCACTCGCTTCAACAACCGTATACGCTGCCTTGCAGTGGGGGTAAAAACAGCATTAAAAAAAAAGATAACTTATTACATATTAAGGCAAAATGAAAAGTAGCAAATTCGTAAGAATTGTCATGGATGTCAAAAATGTTTCAATTTACAACTATTTGTACCTTGAGTTAGCACTGTTCCAATGACGGCCGCTACGAGGGCAACGTTATCCAGCAACATGATGTCAGGACGAGCGTCAAGCACAAGCGGCAGCATACACACCTTGGTCTTCGACCTAACCAGACACCGGAACTCTCCGCCGGGAAACACACCAAGCAAAGTCAGCGGCGTATGTGAGGAACGAACGAATCAGCGCATCTCATGCTTAAGCGTTGCCACAGTCTGCCAGAGTTTGATCAATACGCTGCCATGTAGCTGCCTCGAACCATCTCTAAACTATTAATTCCAGTTGAAACTTGTTCAAAGTAAAAGTTGAATATTGATTTGTTAAACTGACAGACAGGCATTGATTGTATTCAGTTGTAAATGCCATTGCCCACAGTACAATTGAAGAGGCTGCATAATTTGTAGCCTAGAAATGGCTGTAAGACAAATGAAACTAGGCTTTGCATGATAGGGACATATGCTTTAGGAAGGCAGAATATGGTTAACATTCCAGTAACGTAGAACGCTGGTTATTGTCTGTTCACATTTGTAATCTGAACTAGATGGAGTCAATGTTTTAAATGTGCAGAGATTTGAACAATAATATCATCAGATGGGAGACGTGAGACACACACAAGTATCGGTCCATACACAAATACTTGGTCATTCACAGGTACTGGGCCATACATCGGTACTTGGCTGTACACAGGTACTGGGCCATACATCGGTACGTGGCTATACACAGGTACTTGGCTGTACACAGGTACCGGGCCATACATCGGTACTTGGCTGTACACAGGTATCGGGCCATACATCGGTACGTGGCTATACACAGGTACTTGTCCATACTTCGGGCTGAGTCATACACAGGCACTTGGCCATACACAGGTACTTGGCCATACATCGGTTCTGGGACGTACACAGGTACTAAGCCATACATCGGTACTTTGCTATACACAGGTACTGGTTCATACATCGGCACTTGGCCATACACAGGTACTTGTCATACATTAGTACTTGACCATACAATGGTACTTGGACACGCATTGGTACTGGGCTGTACACAGGTACTGGGCCATACATCGGTACTTGGCTATACACAGGTACTGGGAGATACATCAGTACTGAGCCAAACACAGGTACTTGGCCATACATAGGTATTGAATCATACACAGGTACTTGGCCATAGATCGGTACTTTGCCATACACAGGTACTGGGCCATATATCGGTTTTGGGCCTTACACAGGTACTGGGCCATACACAGGTACTGGGCCATACACACGTGCTGGGCTATACATCGGTACTGGGCCATACATCGGCACTGAGCCATACATCCGTACTGGGCCATACATCCGTACTGGGCCATACATGGGTACTGAGCCATACATCGGTACTAGGCCATACATCGGTACTGAGCCATACATCGGTACTAAGACATACATGGGTACTGGGCCATACACGGGTACTGAGCCATACATCAGTACTGGGCCATGCATCGGAAGTGGGCCATACATTGGTACTGAGCCATACATCGGTAGTGGGCCATACATCGATACTGTGCCATACATCGGTACTGTGCCATACATCGATACTGAGCCATACATCGGTACTGGGCCATACACAGGTACTTGGCCATACATCGGTACTGGGCCGTACACAGGTACTAAGCCATACATCGGTACTTGGCTATACACAGGTACTGGTTCACACACCGGCACTTGGCCATACACAGGTACTTGGCCATACATCGGTACTGGGCCGTACACAAGTACTAAGCCATATATCGGTACTTGGCTATATACAGGTACTGGTTCATTAATCGGCACTTGGCCATACACAGGTACTTGGTCATACATTGGTACTTGGCCATACACAGGTACTTGGCCATACATTGGTACTGGGCTGTATACAGGTACTGAGAGATACATCGGTACTGAGCCATACACAGGTACTTGGCCATACATAGGTATTGAGCCATACACAGGTACTTGGCCATACATCGGTACTGGACCGTACAGAGGTACTAGGCCATACATCGGTACTAGGCCATACATCGGTAGTGAGCCATACATCGGTACTAGGCCATAGATCAATACTTGGCGATACACAGGTACTTGGCCATATATCGGTACTTGGCCATACACAGGTACTTGGCCATACATCGGTACTTGGCCATACACAGGTACTTGGCTATACATCAATACTTGGCGATACACAGGTACTGGGTCATACATCGGTACTTGGCCGTACACATGTACTGGGCCATACATCGGTACTTGGTCATACATCGGTACTAGGCCATACACAGGTACTAGGCCATACACAAGTACTGGCCATACATCGGTACTAGGCCATACACAGGTACTTGGCCATACATCGGCACTTGGCCATACACAGGTACTTGGCCATACACAGGTACTGGGTCATACATTGGTACTTGGCTGTACACAGGTACTGGTTCATACATCGGCACTTGGCCATACACAGGTACTTGGTCATACATTGGTACTTGGCCACGCATTGGTACTTGGCTGTACACAGGTACTGGGCCATACATCGGTACTTGGCTGTACACAGGTACCGGGAGATACATCAGTACTGAGCCATACACAGGTACTTGGCCATACATCGGTACTGGGCCGTACACAGGTACTAGGCCATACATAGGTAGTGGGCCCTACATCGGTACTGAGCCATACATAGGTACTTGGTCATAGATCGGTACTTGGCCATACACAGATACTGGGCCATACATCGGTTGTGGGCCTTACACAGGTACTGGGCAATATATCGGTACTGACCCATACATTGGTACTAGGCCATACATCCGTACTGGGCAATACATCGGTACTGTGCCATACATCGGTACTGAGCCATACATCGGTAGTGGGCCATACATCGATACTGAGCCATACATCGGTACTGGGCCATACACAGGTACTTGGCCATACATCGGTACTGGGCCGTACACAGGTACTAAGCCATACATCGGTACTTGGCTATACACAGGTACTGGTTCACACACCGGCACTTGGCCATACACAGGTACTTGGCCATACATCGGTACTGGGCCGTACACAAGTACTAAGCCATATATCGGTACTTGGCTATATACAGGTACTGGTTCATTAATCGGCACTTGGCCATACACAGGTACTTGGTCATACATTGGTACTTGGCCATACACAGGTACTTGGCCATACATTGGTACTGGGCTGTATACAGGTACTGAGAGATACATCGGTACTGAGCCATACACAGGTACTTGGCCATACATAGGTATTGAGCCATACACAGGTACTTGGCCATACATCGGTACTGGACCGTACAGAGGTACTAGGCCATACATCGGTACTAGGCCATACATCGGTAGTGAGCCATACATAGGTACTAGGCCATAGATCGGTACTTGGCGATACACAGGTACTTGGCTATACATCAATACTTGGCGATACACAGGTACTTGGCCATATATCGGTACTTGGCCATACACAGGTACTTGGCCATACATCGGTACTTGGCCATACATCGGTACTTGGCCATACATCGGTAGTGAGCCATACAGAGGTACTAGGCCATACATCGGTACTTGGCCATACATCGGTACTAGGCCATACATCGGTAGTGAGCCATACATAGGTACTAGGCCATAGATCGGTACTTGGCGATACACAGGTACTTGGCTATACATCAATACTTGGCGATACACAGGTACTTGGCCATATATCGGTACTTGGCCATACACAGGTACTTGGCCATACATCGGTACTTGGCCATACATCGGTACTTGGCCATACATCGGTAGTGAGCCATACAGAGGTACTAGGCCATACATCGGTACTAGGCCATACATCGGTAGTGAGCCATACAGAGGTACTAGGCCATACATCGGTACTTGGCCATACATCGGTACTAGGCCATACATCGGTAGTGAGCCATACATAGGTACTAGGCCATAGATCGGTACTTGGCGATACACAGGTACTTGGCTATACATCAATACTTGGCGATACACAGGTACTTGGCCATATATCGGTACTTGGCGATACACAGGTACTTGGCCATACATCGGTACTTGGCCATACATCGGTACTTGGCCATACATCGGTACTAGGCCATACATCGGTAGTGAGCCATACACAGGTACTTGGCCATACATCGGTACTTGGCCATACACAGGTACTTGGCTATACATCAATACTTGGCGATACACAGGTACTGGGTCATACATCGGTACTGGGCCATACATCGGTACTTGGTCATACATCGGTACTAGGCCATACACAGGTACTAGGCCATACACAAGTACTGGCCATACATCGGTACTAGGCCATACACAGGTACTTGGCCATACATCGGCACTTGGCCATACACAGGTACTGGGCCATACACAGGTACTGGGTCATACATCGGTACTGAGCCATACATTGGTACTTGGCTGTACACAGGTACTGGTTCATACATCGGCACTTGGCCATACACAGGTACTTGGCCATACATCGGTACTGGGCCGTACACAGGTACTAGGCCATACATAGGTAGTGGGCCCTACATCGGTACTGAGCCATACATAGGTACTTGGCCATACACAGATACTGGGCCATACATCGGTTGTGAGCCTTACACAGGTACTGGGCAATATATCGGTACTGACCCATACATTGGTACTAGGCCATACATCCGTACTGGGCAATACATCGGTACTGTGCCATACATCGGTACTGAGCCATACAATGGTACTGGGCCATACATCGGTAGTGGGCCATACATCGGTACTGAGTGATACATCGGTACTGGCGCATAAATCGGTACTGGGAACATACGTCTGTACTGGGCCATACATCGGTACTGAGCTATACATCGGTAATGGGCCATACATCGGTACTGAGCCATACATCGGTACTGGGCCATACATCGGTAGTGGACCATACATCGGTAGTGGGCCATACATCGGTCCTGAGCCATTTATCGGTACTGAGCCATACATCGGTAGTGGGCCATACATCGGTACTAGGCCATACACAGGCACTTGGCCATACACAGGTACTGGGCTTTACAAAGGTACTGAGCCATACTCAGGTACAATGTACTAGGCCATACACAGGTACTAGGCCATACATCGGTAGTGGGCCCTACACAGGTACTTAATCATACATCGGTACTTGGCCATACATCGGTACTGGGCCATACATCGGTACTGGTACAAGTAATTGGCTGCG